GCAAGGATACAAAGCCATTAAAACACGAACGATAAAGCCAAATGATGAATATAACTTGATCAGAAAACAGAAGATTAATAAAATATGCAGGAAAAAGTGAGTAATTTGCACTAAGTAGAGATTTAAGGGAAGTGGAAAATAAATAGGTTCCTGAGAAGGGCTAAGGGTACAAATCACAAGCAACAGGGCTATAAATTGCTGCAATTCTCATTTTCCTTGCACTGCCTGCCCACTCTAGTTCCTGCATGAGGAAGTTACAGTTAGTTTTCACATCCACTGAACACAAAGTGTCTGCAAGTTACATTCTTTTGTCATTCCTATCGTCATCTGCTCTCTTTTCTGATCAGCTCATACCCATCCTACAATACCTGCAGCTAATTTTGTCATTACTGAATGTGTCCGAGGAGTTCCAGCCCCAGCCAGCTTATACAAATAAAGGCAAAAAAGAATCATATTCTTCCTGCAACTGAAATGCAAAACATGTCACATTTTTAATGCACATTTTGTCATAGTCACCGCCCAACACATTACCCAAGCCTTGGTTTACACCTGCAAACACAAACAGGGAAAAGACACACACATGATAGGTGCCAGCCTAAACCATGGGATCTCCATGGAATGCCCGAGTGCCAGCCCAGCTCCTACGAGGGAGCATGTACTAAACTGAGAGTTGGCGATAGGAGTTCATTAAATTTCGTAAAGGCGTGAAGATTAAATAACGTGTGTTTGACTTTATTCTTGCACATCATTGCAGATAATAAATACACATTTAAAAACCCTAACATATATTGTATTAAACCCACATACTCTGGGCAAACACTCCTTCCTATGAGTACGTACTTCACCCATGTTACCAAAACACACACTCCACCTGGTACAGGATCTTGTACAAAATTATTAGGTTACCAGTACATACACGTGCTTTAATCTTTCTTCATGAAAGATGTAACAAGGCAGATACTGCTCGACTTAATTTACTAGCATTTTTCCTGCTAGAATAAACTTGTTCTTTTGTCAACACTTTTTTTTTTTTTAATCTTTGTGTTTAATTTCTCCCCTATGAAACTCGTTCTGGGATTCAGACAAGTATCTTTAAGAAGTTTGTAAATGGCATAGGATGAATCCAGACCCTCCTTTTTGCAGCCACAAATGGCTTTCTGGCATCATGCCTCCATGGCACAAGTGACCTCACCTTTTTATAAGCCCTTGCGAAAGGCACCCACAGGCCTTGCATGTTGCTGAGCCCAATGGAGTGGCGGCTTCCTAAGTGACTGCACCTAAGGAGTTGGTAAAAAAAAGCTGTGAAAGATACAGGAGAACGCCAACCGAGTCCTCCACTCCATCCCAGAGCTGGGATGCCAGACCATCTTCTGTTTCCACAGAGCCATTACACAAAAGCCCTCAGCCTTCAGGCAGGATTCACCCCCTTGTTCAGACATTCAGGGTACCACCCAAAGCATTTGACAGACTGCATAGAGTTTGCATAGCTTTTTTTTTTTCTACATAGTCGTTTAAACTATAGAGATTTTCACAAAGAAATTGAAGTGAGCTGCTGAAGTAGAAAATACATCTTTTCACATAATTTTAAAATACAGATTCAAAATATCAAACATATTTACTTACTATTTTTCCTTAGTTATCATTAAACTAATGATAATTGCTCTCATTCCTGTATTTAACCCAGAAAGTATGCCCTTAACAAACTGCAAAACTGTCTAATAAAATATGATATCAAATTTAGGACAAAAACATTTGTCATTGTGCAACAGTGACCAGCAATTAAGACAGATAAGAATCCTAATCCAGTATCTCATAAAACCATTATATAACTCCAGAGACATTGATCAGCACAATAAATTTGCACTAAGATAGAGATGACAATACAAACATGAAAGAACTTAAGGACTCAGATAAGAAACTATGAAAAAGAATTATTTTTATGAGCAATGAGAGGAAAATATGCCCCAGAGGAACAGAAGCATTTGTTCTCAAACTCAGTGCTCTCTTGTGAGAGGATTTAGATAATCTATGAACATCTAAGAGAAAGAAATCAATTCACCCCTCTATATTACATTTACATTGTATGACTAGTGTTAAACATACTTTTGTCCATAGGAAAAAACAAGCAAACAGAAATGCTAGAAGCAGACACATGCTATTTCCTCTTTTTACAGTAATATGCTTCCTTAGGCTAGAGAATAGGATACCCTAAGGCATCCTCTAAGCTATTCATGCATAAAATCACAAAAGATGTACTTGTACATTAATAAACTATTTATTTCCAGGGAAAAAAGTAACACCATTAGTTTAGGGAAATCCAGGTCTCATGTGACTCAAAGACCAAATACCAACTGATTTCAGTGACAAGAGGAACTGCTGTTCGCAGTTCAAAGCCATCAAGTTACATTGCGTTTTAGAATCATCATTAAATTTTAGCCTGTAAGCATTGCTCAGTATCATTGTGCATTTCAGTTTTTGCTTTTTTCTTTTTTTCTTTACCGTATGTATACCAATTACAGATGACCAGGCTCAGAATCCCTCAAGTCAAAGGAACACAGAACATGCACTGACTGTTCTTAGCAGGGTAACCCCCCAATCAGTTATTCAGCAGGTAAGGTAGTAGAAAAGAAAAATTTTAATTGTTCTTTAGTACCTTGGTAGAAGGTACTCTGCTGTCCCCAGCACTCAAGACTAAGGAGTTTAAGATAGGACCTTGTACTAATAAAAGAGGGAGTCTCAGTGTGAAAGAACCCCAAAAGAATGCAATTACTTGGAGTTCTGGGGTGGGGAGGGTGGTTGTAATGTCAGACAGTACCAGTTTAATTCCTTGTTAGGTGTATTGCATGACGTTTTCTTTTTTAGCATGCTAAGCCCTTGTTTAAGGCAGGGCATGCAGGGTTTGGTAACAGATCTTGCAGATAAGGAGAGTTGTTCTGCCCTGGGAAGTGGGGGGGGATCTGAAAGCAGTGGAAGAATACTGGGTCTGCTCTTCAGCAAAATAAAAAGCCATAGCATGTGAGTAATCTTATCTTCAGTCATCAAAGTATGTATTCAAGTCGTTCTGAATAATGATGCGATTACTCAGGTGGGTAAGGTTAGGCACATGTTTTTGCTGAACTAATATATCTGGACAGAAGCCATATTATTCCATGCAGTTCTCTTTGGAGGTTTTCTCTGCAAAAACTGGAACACCCACCAAATTGAAGGGAGCAGCGAGATTCCTTTCTGCTCTCCATGTAATTATCACACAGAAACTCCCTGAACTTAAACTGACTGATTTTTGCTTGCTTCAAATCATATTAGTCCTCATATAGACTATGATTTTGTCCTAATACCAGGACCAAAATGCTGCTTGACACTCTAGGACAGTGCAGTGAAGAAAAATACCTTTCATAAGGGGATATAACACATTATTCTGGTTTCAGAAGTCACTGAAATTAATATGACTGTGCAGATATAATTGAAAAATGTAAACATTAATGTCTACAGCATATAGAATATTTATCTATAGTAATACAGATTACTTATTTTGGGATACATGACAATGAAGTAAACAAGGAAGACTTGTTTTGATGAGATCATACCAGCTAGCATAAGAGTAGGTGCCTAAGATGAGACAAACTCTGATTTCAAACAGGGGTAACAGGGTTCATGCAGCCCAGGCAAGAGAGGGCTGTCTGAACCTCGACACGCAGAAGGTTCCTGTGCTGCTCCCCTCCAACCAAGGGTGGCCAAGCAAAGAGGATACAGATCCTCAGGCAAGGAAGAAACCCCCATGTCTGGAATCAGACTAAAAAAGGGGAGGTGGGACAGAAAGACATAAAAGTAGCAGCCAGAATGGTGCATTCCTATCTATGAATTTTCTGTGGTCCCCAGTCATAGGGCAGAATCACAGCACCAGCAAGTAAGTCTTGATGCACACATGAGGTGTAGCAGCAGTGGGACATTTACATACACTGACTAAAACTACTAGAGTAACTGGTAACTCTTCTATTGATCCGTATCCTCCAGCTATCAGTTTTTAGACTATATTTTTCTAACTGATTTTGTGTGGTATAAGGAAAAAAATGAGCTACAGACAACTGATCTATAAAAAAATGGAGTGTAGATACTGTGTCTACTAAATGTTCATTAATAACTAAGTCCACCTCTGTGCAGAGAGCCTGAATAAGACCCATATGCCGTTTATTCTTTTCCGTTGAGGACTGAGAAGGCCTTGATGGAGGCATTTGGCAAAGTTGCTGGTGTAGCTCTTAAAAGTTATGAGAAATCAGATGCTAGATCTGAGCTGAAATAAGTGAGAAGGGGAGCACTGAAATAACAGTCTGGAATGAATATGACTTTCAGAGGCATCAGGCATTTTAGTTTTACCTAAACTAAAACGTACTAAGACAGGAGTAGATCCTGTGAGCATTTTTTTTAAACCACTAATAAAAATACATTTGCCATTCAACAGAATGAATATACAAACTATTTGCACATATTGCAAACTTAGTATTATTTTTTCAGTTGTAAGCTGTTCCACAGAATACTTTGGTTAGCAATGGCACCTCTTCTAGTAGAAAACTTGAAAAAAAGGAATAAATCAGTTTAACTTTAAAATTATTGATATGACTTGATGCAATGTTAAGGCTTTTCTCTTAAATTATAACTGTCTGAGTTCACCATGGTTTGAAGTCTCAAGCCTGTAACTGTCAGCTGCAACAGGATGACAGCATACAGAGCACGTTGTAGTGGGTTTACCAATATAACTACAGAAAATGTGAAGCAAAGAATTGCCATATTTTTTACATATGTGTAATCTGGTAGGTTCCAACATTCAGAGTAATTATTCCAACCATTCACAGCAAGTCAGACAGGTTTTCTAAAGTCTGGGTAAGTTTGACAAGGGACCTAGAAATCCTATCAAAGTTTCTGCAGTACCTCAGTCATGTGGAAAAGGTTTCATATACTTGCTCTATTGAAAAGGCAAGACTGGATACAAAGTAAAAGGCACAGATATAGAACAGTCACACTTCTTGAATAAAAAGATAATGAGTAAAATTTGGGGCAGCCATTTTGCTGTTGCTTTATTTCTCAGTGCTGACTGTTTCTTGACCAAACATCTCTATCTTTTCTAATGCTGCACCACTGTGTACTGGAGGAGTCTTTCCTGAACAGCTTTTCTTGTTTCTTCCCATTTCTGTAGCTTCCACCAAAGTATTAGTCAATGGTTTTCCCAGTGTTTCTGGAAGCATTATTGTTAATATTCCACTCAGAAGAGCCATGATTCCAACAAGCAACTAGAAGAAATAAACAGTAGCTGTAAAGGTAGAAATGTCTTTCAAGTTATGCATATCTTTGATCTAGTCTGAGAGTACATTTAAAATAAAGCACAAGGAACTGTAATGTAAAGCAAAGTTTGTAAGTCTTCAATGTTGACTGTATGCAAGATCTGCCTTTTTTTTTGTTGCATAAATGAAAGACTATGCAGTAGAATTAATGAAGAGCAAGTGAAGTGTTTTGTTCACAAGGGATCAATACAGTGCAAGCAGGAGTAATTCTGTTTGAGAAAACAATACGTATATTTCATTTGGTATTCCTACTATCAGGTATGTATTTAAGAACAGATTCTTACATTTATTTTTACATGCATTTTCATAGAGCTACAATCTCCCTGCCACCTGTAATCTCAATTTGCACTCCAGCTCCTGAAACTATTCCCCCTGTACCTGTGTGCCCGTTCCTCCTGCACACAGTCAGATCAGAATTTCTCAGTATAGCTCATTGGCCCGGGGCCACGAAAGTGCACACCCCTGCTCAGGAGAGCTCTTCAGCAGATAATGAGCTAGCTCTCAACAGGAACACTTCGCTAAAATCAGTTTCAGAGAGCTGTAAGTGGTGCAGGTATCTACTGACATTTGCACTGGGATCACGTCTTGGATTTGTCCATGGTGTACACAGTTCTGTAACGACAGCTTACTTCAGCACAAGTGGTGGAAGGATCAGGATCATGTGGGGCAGATAGAGAAGCACGCACATGCTCCAGGAGTATCTCTTCTTTCCCTTCATTTCTGTGCCTTGTTCAATGAGAACAATTCACACTTTCCTCCTTTGAAGTACAGAAAAGCATTAAACCCCTGACATTCGTCCAACAGCAGGTTATAAATGACTCAGATCTTTTTTGATAGAAATGCTTCCACACAGAACATCATGCCTGGCCTCAGTGTTTTTCCATTTTATGACTGTGCACTTTGATACTGTATTATCCTTATCTTACTCTGTGCTGATTCTCAGGTCTGTCCTGTTTGTTTAATACTTTCTTTTCAAGTGTGAGAGAGAACATTTGTAATTACTATGCCCGTGTCTCTCACACAGAGCTTGAGAGAAGAACTGGCCAGCTACCATCTGCAGCTAAGCCAGACTTTCTCTTTTAGGTCAGAAAGGTGCTTTAAAATTGGAATTCTCCACTGTAACCTTCAACAGTGCTATTTCATCCACATGCACCATGCTGCTTTTGCTTCCCCTCCTCTCTAAAAGAAGACAGCTTGTCTCAAGTACTCTTTTGAGAAGCAGGAGTCACACTGTTGCATACACTCCTCTTTTTGCACTTCCATTAAACACACAGGCTGACAAAACAAAAAATTAATCAAAATACTCTTGAATACTACAAACTACAGTGAAAATAAAAGTCATGTTCTTAACATGAAAAAAAAGAATCCTAGCAGTAATAGGACCAGATGAAATGGCACTGAGTGACGAACCAAGGGAAATCCTTGTACACATCTATATGTGGCAGAAGTAATATTTTTAAATATATTCCAAAATATTACAGTCCCACCTCCGGGTGTCAAAACTCTTCTCCACTGTTAAAACATCATTTTCTGCCATGGCAAGACAGCATGAATTGACACATGGCAGCTACTCTACCTCTCTTATGCACATCCTTTAGACTGTCATAAAGTTTGTATTTGAGGATATTGAGGCCTGTAAAGGATATTGAAGCTTATGGACACCCATACATTTGGAGTTTATGAGAACAGGGTCACTACTGATGCCCAGCAGAACAAGGTTAAAGCAACACCGTGTGCTTTGAGTATGTGTGTCTTCTCTGTTTCGATTAGTCTTTTAGACACTTTGCATTCTTCTCATGTTTTCCTTCCTCATGAACCTACCTCCTATTCCCCTGCGAGTTCTCACTATTCTGTAAGCGTACACACCGCCATCTTTCCTGCCTTTTCATCTCAGCTCCCTTAAGTCTATTCCATCACGTGTTTGTTTTCGTTTTTTTTTTTTCAATGTGAAAGCTGCTACATGCCAACTAATTCAGTGTTTCTCCCTTCTCCCTCTCCCTACAAAGCATTTTCCAGTATTTCATATGAAAGACAGAATATGAAACAATGAAGTCACAGTATATTAACGAAAGGACTTCTCAAATGTCATCTACCTTTTCAGGGGCAGTAACCACACTTAACAATGAAGTTACTCACATTTAGTCAAAGCAAGCCTTTTGCAGTCCTGGCATACTTCTTCATGAGGCATCTGACATACTTTAGCCCTTTGCTTGCTCATTACAAATGTGTACATTTTGTACTACTTTACATACATAATTCAGCATCAGAAAATGTTCTTCTGATATAGTCAATAAGTTAAATGCTTATGGATTAAAGTGTACTATTGTACAAAGTATTTAAGTATGTTTAAACTCCATTGAAGTTAATTTGACAGCAGTACCTGCTTAAATTCATTGCTTTTTCAGGGTCTTAAATCTGAAGTCTGACTTTCTGCTCTGTATTCCCAACACTTCAGTACAGCCAAGCAGCTTCTAACAGCTACCATAATAAACTTCCAAAAAGATTTTTTTTTTTTTTCTTTTCACCTGTCCTCCACCCTACCTGGAGCAACAGTTTTAATTTCACAGTGATCTAAGTCCAGGATTTAATATATTTAGTCTAGAACAAAAGATAATTTGAATTAAATATCACTTACTTCTGAGATCAAATGATTATTCTAGTCTGCTATTTACATTTATATCCACGTCTGATGGCTCTGAACCAATCTAAAATGTGATCTTATTTACAAAATTTCTACTTCAACAAAAGAAGCTAAATTTTGTCCTGAAAATCCACTGGTATTAGACACAGGATTTGTATTCATTTAACTTTACTGACCTCTGTGGAGTTGGGTTTTTTTAATTTCTAATTTATGGTTTATCTGAGAGAAAAATCAAGTCTGTTAAAGCGCTACTGTAGCATAATTCTTAACAGCTGAGAAACAGGAATAAGTTGTACATGGAGCTGTTGCTTAAAAAAGTAAGTTTTCTAGAAAGTTGTCACATGAAAAACATACTTGCAAGTTATTCAAGATTTACAGGCATTCAGATGAGATGCTTGCATTACTCACAGGTGGCATAACTGTACATGAGGCAGACTGTCAAACAAACAGCAATAGTAACTGCTTGACATCATGTGGTGTATACAACAGATCAGCATGATGTATATCAGTTTACTTACAAATGTAATCCATTCAATTTCATATCCATTCCAAAACACTTACCTGCCCTAAGACTTGGCATGCTATGCTCCAACACAAGACAAGCCTATTTAATAAACTGAGAAACGTTTTATAATAGGAGCCAATAATGAAAACATATTCACTGTAAACAACCACACAACTCTACAAATACTCTGGATACTTTTTTTCCATTGAAGTTGTTCATAGCTGAAATAATTCCTCTGTTTACACTGACATTTGCATTGCTCTCCAGCATGTTTGAGCATCCCCCATCTGCAGTTTAACTGCAGCACTTCTGCACAGATAAAGCTTATCTCAGCCAGGAAAGGCAAAACACTCATAAGAGAAAAAGAATGTTCTCCCATGACCACTCTGTTTCTTTGTCTTTTCTCGGACGATATCTTGGTTTGTATGGGGCCATTATTAAGAGAGAAAATATTTTTAGGAGCCTGAGGGAATAAATTAATTTGTGGTCTCCTCTTAATTTTCATCCAAAACAACTGAAAGTAATTAATATAAACAATGAAATGAGTTCCCAGGAATTCTCTGAAACCAATCTCTAGCATCTATAATTGAAGATTTTATAGGCGCAAAATCAAAAGGACACAACGCCACTTCTTCAGGAAATTCCAATGTGGTAGACAAAATTAGAGTAAGAATCCATGTTAAAGACACATCACATTACATTTTCACCTTCTGACATGTATAATCTACATATAACATTGGTGTGCTAGTCACAGTGAGTTCTAAGGGGTTTTTGAAAGAACTCAAAACTATTTAAAGCTTTAATATAAACTTGGTAATTCCTTCTGTTTTTACATATATGGGCATAAATTATCCTTCAGGAGAAAAAAGGGATTTAATAGCTGCAGGACTTCTAGGCAGCAAATGCCTCACAACAGAAATGTAACGAAGGACTGTGATTCATCTGTGAGAGGGAAATACACAAAATATTTTGTCCAAAATGGAACTGAAACTACGTAATGCAGACAAAATGCCCAAAGTCCATGAAGGATTGGTTCCACCTCTGTTTTCCTGGGGCAACTGGTGGCAGAAGACAAAACCTAATGGTAGTATGACATGTTACCTACAAGGAGGATGAGCTTAATGAATCCAAGCTTCTTTTGCTTGTCAAAGTCACTGTGAACCTCCTCAATATACTATTTGCTTCTCTTTTTCTATCTCTTGAATTGTTTTGTTCCGTTTGTAAATGAAAAACACAAAAAGGGAGCTTTGGGACAGCTGTGAAGACCAAGTACAGTAAGCATAAGATATTGTTGATCTTTTGCCAGGCTGTTCCAAAGATGCAATGTCCAAGGGAAGCCATGGAAAAGATTAAGGAATTGTATAAGAAAAACCAATCACCAATGGTGAATTCCAAGAATGGAAGAACTATGCCTTTGAAAAAGAGGTAAGAATAAATCAGGAGCGTGGTCAAGAACTGCTAGGCCTGCAGAGTAAAAAAGTATGGACTAAGACACTTCCTAAATGTTACATGGTAGATGAAGTATATATTTATGGAAAATGTTTTTATCAATTTTATACTAGGATTCAGTGCATAAGTATTTTTATGTCTTCCATCATAAAAACATTTCAGAAGATTTCAATGACTCAAAGTCTCCCTTTTGCTTTAGCTGTGTATTTTTAACAATATGAAGTTACTAATCTTTGAGTCTTAAAATTTAGAACAAGAATGGGTCACTCAATTTCCTTTTCAAAATAGAAGTTCAGCTTTTGGTTCCCAAGAAAGCAAGGGACACATACGCTTTTTCAAAACCAGAATCATTCACCATTGAAATAAATACTTACAAGTGGCAGGAAAATCCAAACACTTCTTAGATATACACAGAAAGGAGCAACCACACTTCCTACACGGCACATCATGCTTCCACTTCCAACAGCAAGTGATCTACACATAAAACAAAGACTTTGATAAGAATTCTGGCAGATGAAGGAAACAACTAGAAATACAGACACCTAAAACACCAGTAGAATATGTGTCTTTAAGCAATTATACTAGGAAGCTATTGCTACACCAATGTAAATTTATATTGTGGTGAAATTCAGCTGCTTCTATAATTAAGATTAAAAATACAATCATCATTCAGCATAGACCACAGGATGAACAACCATGACTTTTAAGAAAGGCATAAATAACATTTAAGAAGGTACTGAGTATTCTTCTATTCTCCAATCAAACCAATCAATGTACATGGAATGAAAAAAAAAAAAAATTATGGTACAGCTAAATACTACAGAATTCTGAAGCAGCTGAGGAACTCATCCCATCCCAAGTCTTTCAGACCACTGGCACTGATGCTAAGAGCTGCTGGATCTGGTGCAGGAACATAGCAAAGGAAAGGAAGTAACAACAAAGTAATGAAAAATACATAACTGGCTAAAGTTCTTACCTTATGATTGTTGGGTACAGTTCTGCTGTGTAGAGATATATGAGCCCAAATGCCACACCTATTGAAAATTTTCCAGCCATATTTGCTAAGATAATTAATATATTGAAATCCTATTGAAAGAGAGCACAAATAAATAAATCACTGGAAAATAACACTATTCCAAACTTAATTGAAATCCTTCAAAGGTTGTGACCCTTCTTTAAACAATATTCAATACTTATTGCTTGCTTTTTTAAAATTGGTCTCAATAACTAATTAGCGTCCATATCACTTTTTATCAGTCCTGACTCACTGAAGCCCTGGGAACATTTTACATGTGACTCCAGCAACAATAGTGAAACCTGTACTGAAAATAAAGAAATCTATCTTAGACTGGAAGCTGCAGTTTAAAAACAGCCTTTAATTAATGATATAATTTAGAAAGACCAGCTGCATCTATAGACTTAAGAGCCTTTAAAATCAATTTCTACTATAGGAACACTTTCAACAATGTGTGACTAACCTGAGGTATGAACATAATTAAAACACAGATCAGTGCACTTAAAATAAGGAACGGAATGAGTGTGTTTCTCCTTCCCAGTTTGTCCATCCCAATGCAAGCAATGATATAGCAAGGCAACTCCACAGCACCTGTCAGTATGAAATTATTTTGTTTTAAGTCATGATTACACATATTCATGTTATAACTTTAACTTCCTCTTTATGAGGATTAATTTAATCTAGGAGTAATAAATAAATGAAATCTAGACACAACCAGTGTGCTGGGCTAGTTCATTTGGTAAGAAAATTTGGCAGAAAACACAGCCTAAAATACGGTAGTGGGTGACAGAGAAGGACAAGGATAACTGATTTCACAGCACAGAGCAGCTCCAGTTCTCTTCGAGGTGGAAAATTACAGAAAACAGTAAGGCCACAGTCCTGCTTTTATGACACTGGCACTTGTAACTGAAAGATTTCCATTTGCTGCTCTTCTGCTTCAGGTATTTTCACATCAACAGCTTAAGCGTGCCCACAAGGAATATTGTGAGTGTCGCACCAACACACCTCTCAGGATTTGCCAGCTTCCACCTGGACACAGAACTGAAGCCACAGGCACCTCCCCCAGCTTCAGCCCAAAATCACCCCAATGTAAAAGGCAAGCAGGGTCTCTCCAGGTCCGGTTTTCTGAGTCAGCCCCACAAATACAGAGAGTGCAGTTCCAGGTTTCTCTCTTCTCCATTAAAAAGAGAGCAGCTGCTTACAATTCCCACTCTTACTCAGATCATCTCTTCCTAATGTCTCTTTATAGAGGAAAACTTCTGCAGCTCTAAAGGAACTGGCATTTGGCTAGGACTGTTCACAAACCCTGTGTAAACACGATTTGCCCCTAGACAAATTATATTGAGACTAAGCCAGTTTGGACATGTTTTAAACCAACTTGCTCATGAAGAATGCTACTATGTCCAATGTAAAATCAAGGAAGAACATAAGATACAGCCCTGAACAAATATGCTGCATTCCTTTACTAAGCATGTATAGTATGTCAATACACCTATAAACATCAGGAAACAATCTTTTGGGCTTGTGTTGGTAAAAGCAGGTTGCAATTATTCAGTGTTTGTTAGTCTGCTAAAATATTTTTGGAAGAGGTGGATATAGTGATTTATGGACTGTACTCCACCATAACAATTTAATTATCTGTGCAATACTAGCATCCACTCTTCAACACGTCAGTCTACCAATACGCTGTGATACGTGACAACACAAACTGAATTAATGAGAGCCCCAGTCCTGTGTGCTTATGTACATGAACAGTCACATTCACTGTACTGAGAGTCCTCAGTTGCACAAAGCAAAGCACATGATTTAATTCTTTGCTGGCTCAGAGCTGCGTGCCTGATCTAGAGTCCTCTGAAGTCAATGGAATATTTCCACTGATCTTAACAAACTTTGGATCAGGCCTTCAATGCACTTTATAAACAACTTACATACCAGAGGAAGATTACAGTCAGACCGACAAAATTAAAAGAATACTACAACTAAATTAAAAATACACTTTTGAGAAAACTAAAATTGCTCTTGCTTCTGAGAATTATGAATCTATTTTCTACACAGATAGACTCAATACATCCTGACTGCAAGTAATTAAAGGAATATTTTTTTTCTCTCCTTTTCCTAATTTGTGCCTGTAACAGAGCTCTGTGATTTCCGTGTTGCTGGTCTGCTTCCCTTGGTGTTTGTGTGGATCTGCTGCTATATGCTTGCAGGGCAAAGAGGAGACATGCAGAATATGGTTTTACAATCACGAAGACAGCCGGAGAAACAACAAATTTTAATTCTTTTTTCAGGAAGAGCGAGATTTAGAGTGAATGATACTCCTCCTGTGTTAGTCAATTTTATGAAGAGTTAGCAAGAAACTTTTTGAACAAGGTTCATAACTAAATGAACAAAGGTAAAAAATTAGCTGACAAATCTAGAGACATTTCCGAATGTTATGTTCTAGTTCTGTCATAAACAGAATAAGGTACAAAAATATTTACCTATGAGAAAGAGATTTAAATATTCATTGCCCCCTAGACTGACAGAACTGAGGGAGAAGACGTAGTACCCCAAGCTCCCAGTGAACCAGATCAGCCAGACTGTGATGGTCCTTCTTGCAATGTGCCAGTTACAAAACAGGTCTAAGATGTTGTGCTTCTTTGTTGAGGATGTGTCATTGTCACCCGTTCTGCCACTGACTAGATCATCTTGTTGGACTGAGCACAGTTCAGAAACTTTGCAGGGAGTGCTTACTTTATTCCATCTTGCCATGATATTAATTACTTTTTGTGCATCTTCGTATCTTTCCTCGGACAGGAGCCAAAAAGGTGTTTCTGGGAACATCCAGCAGCACAAGACAAAGGGAAGAGTTGCTACGGAGAGAAATATCTGATAGACCCACCAGGTCCGAACCAAAAATCCCACGAGTGCCACAACCATAATTCCCATAGCAAAAAAAGCATGGACATGCATAGAAGCCCAGGTTCGTGCTTTAATGCCAACAAATTCAGTCACATAAACAAAAGCCACAACCAGATAGCCACTTGAAACCTGGGGGGTGGGGGGGAGAGAGAGAAAAAAAAAAAAGAGTGAGGTTTGCATCTACTTTCCTCGTGCAACAGCAGTAAAAACAAATGGCTAACAGTGTTCCACATTTGTATACGCTTAATTGCCACTGCACTGGCACGTCCCACACTGACAGAAAAAAAGGCAGCCCTGAAAACAAATCAGCTGGAGAAAAAGTTCACTCAAACCTTCAGACCGCCTGGACACTGAATTTAAAAATGTGAAGTGATTTTGGATGCTTCTCTGTAGGGGGGGAGAGGCAGCAAGAGACACCTGAGAAAAAGCCTAATTTGCTGATGTCACTAAGCCCTTTACCTCCAAAAATCAGATCCCTTAACGACATCGCAAACTTGATGCTCGGGAAAATGAGGTCCACTGAAGTAATTGCCACTTCTGAAAATCTTGACTTTGGATTTAAGTGGACTATTAATAATCTGTATGTCAGGGAACTACAAATTTACTGAGAATTACCTTCCACACCCTTGTAAATTATTTCATTGAATCAAATTTTTATAATGTTGGAAGAGAATCTCACATATACGGTTATAGGTGCTCATACATTATCTAGTGAATGCAATTACTGGCATGTTCTGCATAGTATTTCTTCATTGAATACATGTATATTACTGAATATATATATATTTCTCTAGCAACAGTCAAACTCTTGGTATCTCAAAACACAGCTAGAAAATCAAGACTAGAAAATATTGCAGTATATAGTTTCGATTAATCCATTTTCTGGTTAAAAATACTCCAGTTAATAATCTCTGATTCTGAACCTACTGAACCTGATAGGAAAGTTGCACTGATCTCAGTGGCACAGAGCTCAAGCTTTAGACTTCCATCTTGCAAATCAGTCCCAGTGGGCAGTTAAAACCTAGAGCCTTGGTCTGGTCAGAGCTTTTCTAAACTACCACAGCCCCCAGCATCAACAGCCAAGGGAGTCAGCAGAGGGACTCCTGTTGAACTCACTGTTCAAGGCTGAAATGCCCATGCAGTCTTTCCTGCTAGGAAATCCTTCTAAGCTCTAATCAGGCAAAGACAGCTCCAGGTGCAAGGTCCTGTCTTGACTAATGCACTGTC